TACCACTGTCTCTCTCTCTCTCTCTCTCTCTCTCTCTCTCTCTCTCTCTCTCTAAGGTGCAAACATAACAGGAATTTTGAAATCTCGCTCTCTGTGAGGTGCAAACATACAGGAGGATTGTCCAAAAATATATAAAAAGTTTATTTTGTATGGATGAAGTCCAAAATTTTCAGTTGCTTTTGCTTCCCACTGGTTGATGGGGCAGAATTTTGCGCAAATCTGGTAATGCCGAGCTTGAAAGAATTGAGGTTAACCCCATTCTCCACAAGGATGCTTGTTACTCCCGTACCTGATACCTGTGGAAAATGCAACAAGGAAGTTCATTTTTTCATTACATTTTCTGGGAAATGATGTGTTTAAAAAACAAAGAAATTTGACAGTGCATTAGAAGTGATTAGGGGCATTTGAACTGACTACTTCAAAGACAGATTATTTCAAGGAGAACAAAAGCAAAGGAGGTTAAGTCTGTTCCAATTCAATTCTTGAGTAGGAGGTGAACATAAAATCTCTCATTTAAAGAGATTTTCCTGCAATGGGGGTATTTGTATTCTCCATTATTATTATGGAAAAATATCCGGTAGTGCTACCAGAGTATTAAGCAAGGTACTTATACTGTCCATCCACCTGTCATACAAACCAACAAATTATGGACATGAGCCTTTGTCCCAGCTTTTACCGTAATTGATTCTCATGGTGAGTCCAGAGCCGCGTCAGCTCCAGTCAGAACCTAGCAAGTCCAGAGGCAAAACCTCATGACTCGCACTGAGTCCCCCCCAAACCATATTTTTTATGCTAAAGTCACCAATCTGAAGTCTGAACTGGGACTCACTCAAATGGAACCAGGTGACTCAGGCTCGGGACCTGGAGAGTTCGAGCCTCAGCCATGGTTTTAAACACAAATTCTTACTATAGCATTTCAAATAAAACAATGTTAAGGACAATGAGAATAAGAAAACATGGCTGCATACCGCTTTAATGTTTCGGCCCTCATCATCAAAAAATAGAATTGAATTATAGGGGATTCCTGTCCTCTGATTGATTCTCTGGAAATGCTCAGTTTTGTGAGTCCAACTTGAGAAGATTTCCTGTATCGACCAATATTTCATGATTATAAATCCTAATTACGCATTACTGTTTGGCATATGTGGATGGAGTGCAAGGGCTTACTTTCTGACGCTTTTGATAATTCAAATATTTTTCTTGATTGGTTATTATGAGGAAAACATTGCTCAAGTGAAAACAAGATATCATGAAAAGGAAAGACTTTCATTATTGATGTCATAAGAAAACTTAACATTGAATAACAATTTAACTGCAGTAATAGATAATAATTGTAATTGCAGTGACATATATAGTGTCTTAGTAAAAAATCTCAGAAACTTTCGTTTTGATACTCTTTTGAATACATTTTTTAAATATCATCAGTTTTCCTTCTTTTTTTCTAAAGGCGAAATATCATGAGTTTTCTTCCCCTCACTTTTTTTGCAGCAATTATAAATTAACCTAAACATGAGATTTTTAATGGATAAAAGGAAAATATCTTGTTTTCCATATTTGCTTTGTTATTTTCCCTGAAATTTCCCAAGAATAATCCAGATACAAAACAAAATTTTGAAACTCGCCTAATAAATTAGTTGCATTGCTGAGGATTTCCATTGATCAAGGTTAGTCACTATGCCAACAGAATAGCCAGAGTAATAGTGGTAATAGACCAACAAAACAATTTTTCTATTCTTCTTCAAAAAAAAAACGTGTAGCAATGAGGCCATATAGTGTAGTTGTGGAATATGAAACATTGTTTGACCACATTTACCTTTGCCACAAACATTGATTCAATCTCCAATCTGTTGAGGAATATTTTTGCAATATCCGATGTAGGGGAGCGAGAAGCAATTGCTACTTTGATGCCCTTATCTTTGAGTGCATAAAGTATGCCCTTGGCATGTGGATACAAAGATGGCATTTCTTGACGTGATCGACATTCGCTGCTCAGACAATTGAAAGCTTTTTAGAGAAACCAAGCTTTTTCAGACAACTGATGGAAGTAAATATAGTAACAAAAATAGCCTTTCATTTTTAAAAAAAAGAGTTTTTTTTTTTTTCAAAAGATAAATGATACACTTTCTAAACTCCCGAAAGACTAAGGCAATCTACACACTTTGTGATTTTAAAGCCCTGTTACTGAAAGCCTATTTGCAGGTTATCAGATTATAGCCCATCCCAAAAAGCATATAATTTCTTTTGAAAGTTAAAAATATGAGCATAGTTTTAAGTAAATAATACAAAAAAAGGTGGTGGGTGTTTTGGCCACTTAATGAACTCCTTCACTCTCATCTAGGATTCCATGAGACCAAAGATCAGTTTTATCCCTAAGGCCATACCCAGTGTTTCAAAAAGCGCTTGGCAACAACTAAGCGGCCGTGGGGGTCCAGGCCGCCCACTGCCTAGGCGGGCGCCCAGAACTTGGACTGCCCAGTTGAAAAAAAAAAAAAAAAGATGGAAGTTGAGAAGAGAATTTGCTAATCCATAAGACCATAACCCATATTTTCATACAATGCTAAAACAGTAAAATCATACAAGCATATATTGATAGTCTGATATACTGTAGACTGCACACACAAAAAATTAGATAGTAGAAACTAGAAAGTGGAAGCTAAAAATAAGATAAAGAAAACATACAGAAATTCAAAAAATATACAGTCCAAGGCACAATAGTCAACACTCAACACCAAGAGTCAAGCACGCAAACGTCTTTAACTCTTCATTCTTCAGTCATCATCATCATCATTAGAAGGAATAGGGTAAACCTCATCATATGCATCAGATTCGAGGTCATCATCATCAGAGTCATCTCCCTCTTCAATATAACGCTCGTCTTCCTCTGTTTCTTCTGAATCTGCATCTTCCTCCTCCTCTTCTTCTAACTCCCTCTTACTAGCATGTGCAGATGAGGCCCTACGAGTCTTGGTTGTTCTACCCTTTTCTACCTTTTTGTGCTTCCTTGAACTCAAATATTGTATAATCTCCTCCTTAGTAGCCTCAGAAACATTTTCACACGGGGGAACATCCTCCTTAATATCGGCAAGGTGTTCTTTAAACTGGTAAATGCCCCCATTAGTATATTTTCCACAATAATTACATTTAATACGATTTTTGTCATTCGGATTCGGGTTATAATCATACTTTCAACCCGGATCACACTGGAGAAGATATTTCCATAGAACAAGGCTCATTTTCAGCCTTTTCTGGTTCTTTTAAATTAAAAAATTCTCTAACCCGAATAGCTTCAGGAGTTTTTTTACAAAAAGCAACATTCCCTTTAATACCAGTAAGGTGTTTCTTGAAATGGTTAATACCCCCATTGGTATCTTTTTCACAAAAATTACACCTTATACAATTTTTATCGTTTGGTTTTGAATTATAACCATACTTCCAACCCAGATCACTTCTTCTAGAAGAACTAGAAATAGATCTATTCAACTGACAAGGATTTTGTTCCTGTTTTTGTTTTACAGAATTCATATAATGCTTAATCTTCTCTCTGATAGCTTCAGGAACATTTTTACAATGGGCAACATCCCCCTTAATATCGGCAAGATGTTTCTTAAACCGTTTATTTCCCTTTTTGTATCTTTTTCACAATAATTGCATTTAATACAATTTTTATCATTCTGATTCAGGTTATATCCATATTTCCAACCCGGATCTCCACTTCGACTAGATCATGAAGAAGATATCTCAAAATAAAACAAGCAATCTACAAAATAAAGTTTTGCACATACTTTGAGTGCTTGAGCTCCAAAGTCTCACCTTTGATATGTTTTCTGGTGCTAAAATAATAAAAAACAGCCTCTAATAGGATTAAAAAAACTCCAAAACTAAATCTAATCTACCTGGATGATGCTTGAGCCCATTTTTCGTAACTTTGAGAAACACTTCGATTCAATGAAAATAACAAAATTTAGTTTTTGAGATTTCTTTCTCTCTAAAATGGGTTCTTGTGGGTTTAGGTTTCAAATGAACCTAAAAACCATCATTAAAAGCCTTTATGCTTCAAAAAAACTCATTTCTGCCTCTAGGCGGGGCGCAGGCCCTGGGCAGCCGCCCAGGGTTGGTCACTAGGCACCTGCCTAGGTGCTGGGCGGTCCTCTTTTTTGAACAATGGCCACACTTGTTTCCCAAAATCTAATCCAATGGTTTTCCTCCTCTCAATCTCCAGCACTTGCTCCTCACTAATGTCCTTGTAAGTTTGAGATCTTTATCTAAACTCAATTTGCATGCATCATTAAATCCCTCATCTTCACAACTCCAAAGAAACCCCTGTGACAGCACGTCCAACTTATCTATTTGCCCTAGGAATTTGAACAAGTGCCATATCATACCTGCACTTCCCCCAAGGCTAACCTTAATGACAGCCACTGGCATTTCCAAGGAGCCAACCTTCAGGCTCTTAGCTAAGGACCCATAATGGATTCCTGGGTTTCTAATGCAAAATGACAAACTCAAGTAAAAGTTGGTATACAATTGAATATTTACCCAAAGATAGATCATAAATTTCAAGTGAGGATGGATCCACTCCTAACCCTCATCACAGAGATCTTCCTCAAGCCAACTCCTTCACTTGAATGTTTGAAACTTCCAAAGAAGTTGACCTGCGCTTTTGAAGCATCAGAAAATACCAAGGTTCAACGTCAAAAAAGTGAGAAACCAACTTAACATTGTTGGACACATGGCAAATATCTTAATCAGCTTCAAAATCAACACCTTGCTCACTATATGGCTAAAGATGTCAAATAAAGTTGTAGCAGAAAAAGAGGGAAAGGCATTGGTTGTCACAAATTTTCAATCCTTCAAAACTACTTAAGAGACCGCCAATGATGCATTAACCAAGACATAAAGGGAGCATTCAAAATCAATGCATCCGATTATCTTCTCCATCTAATTCCACAACCCAATAGTCCAAGCATGTTAATGTATACGCATAAGCTTTATTCTGATGCCCACTTTGCACATTAGAGCTGGACTACCTTGTTAATGCCTTAGGCTTCAAACATTCATGCACAATTAAGCCCCTATATAGGTACTACCTACCTCACATAAAAGCACCTTGGCATGGGGAAATGATGACCAATACCTCTCTCATTCTCACAGAAAAACCTTCACTAAAACTTCAGAGGCATCGTAATTGTTTTCAACTCTTTCAGCTTTGACTTTTATCTTACCCCCCTAGAAGAAATGACATCTAAACTAACACATTACCCATTTAAGTTAGTTTAGATGCATGAATTGTTACAGCAGCTCCCCACTAGGTAAAAAGCAATGATAAAGTGCCTCTTGCTAGGAAGGTACATTTTAAAACCATTAATTGTCTTCCCTCCTTTCTGGATCCTCCTAAATAAAATTGATATAGGCCATTATACAAGAGCACATCAACTGTTTACAGTTCACACCATCGATTTTGAAATTTAGTGTTTGATTGCCAACATAACAATGAAGCTTACAACTGACAGTTAAAGCAATATATTCATACTAGACCCAGTTTTATGAACTGTAACTGTGGAACAAATTTCCTCAAAAAAATACCACAAATGCAATACAAATCACATATGCAAACAATGATGCGCCCCCCAACTAGAATACAACCAATATTTAAGAACTGAACTTTAGATGCATAAAATCCTTCACTTACACGTGAGCGGAGTTTCAAAAATCAGCAAGCCGATTAGGAATCCCAAATCGGAATGGATCCAGGCTCTTTGTTTTTTCTTTTTTTTTTGTTAGGTTGGTGAGCGTCCACTGTTCCAGATGGCTGGAGTCGCGGAATCACCCTGGTTTGTCCAGAACCGGGCAGTTCACTGCTGTGACTCAGGTGATTCCCAAGTCTCAGGTAATTTTTTCCCTTTTTCCATATCTGTTTTCACTGGGTGACTCCCAAGGGCTGGAACCAGCAAACTTATCCAACAGGGATGACTGGGTGCCGGATTTGGCATCCAATTCCTTCCTTTAAAACATTGCTTGTGAGTATATGGAATCATGCATACATAACAACATGCATGCATCCATAAGACCGTGCATACACAGAAGCATACACAATTAAGGCAAAGATTCGTGCAGCAGATAAATACGATGATAAGTTCAAGTTAAAAATGAGGTTGACATGCCTGAATAAGGTCTTAACTTGCAGAAGAGAAAAACACAAGAAATTGAATAACCAATAAATCACCAGACTGAAAAGGTACGAACTTGATTACCAGATAATGAGGGAATAGAAACCCTAACTTTGAGAATGGGATGCAAGAAATTACCAGTAAAAAGGCCAGAGGGTGTAGTCTAGGTCAAAGACAACAAGGCGAGGGAGAATCTGGAAAAGGCCAAGGATTTGCAGAGCCTCTGATTTCACCTGATCGTCTCCCATTCACCTAGCCTCTTTGCCCTTTCCAACTCTCTCTCTCTAGTTCTTCCTTTTTTTTTTCTCTCTCTTGCTCCGGTTCAAAGTATTACGCACTCTTTCTAAAATGTTGGCGCGCTCTCTCTCTAAAATCCTGTCCGTGGCGCTTCTCTCTTCCAAGGATATTATACTCCCACGCGAGCTTTTTGTTCATTTACTACTTCGGGTAAAAACCATATAAGATTAATCATAGGGCTGCAAATTTTGGGGATGTGACCTCCTTCACCTATATTTCAATAAATAAGTAAAAATTTTCTAATTGCAACCTTTATACATTTGAAAAAGATAATGTCTGAAGATTAAATAGAGACAGTTTAATTTTTAGAGTGCGAGATGGATTAGAAAAACTTAAAATTTAATTGTTTTCGTTCGAAAAAAATCATAGTGACTAGTAGGTGGTTTAAAGTTTCATATTCAGTAAATCCTTCCTAATGGCCAAACGATTGCTTCCCAAAAAAATAAAAAAGATTATGATACGGTATACCCACTTGATGAAAATTTTATCTAGGCAATAGCAAAAGAGCATGTATACGATGCTCCCTATACTTCCTCGGGAGCATAGTTTACTTCTTCTCTTTTAGTCGGAACATCTATTAGGGAGGATTTTTTCCCTCTAAAATTTCTAGAAGTGCTAAAAAAATTACTAGATGATTATTTTTTAAAAAAACATAAAAATTCAAGTTTTCTAACACTTAGATTTCACTATTTAAAAATTGAGTAGTCTCGATTCAATCTGGAGACATTATTTTACTCAAATATATAGAACGTACAATTAGGCCAAAAAAATTTTTGAGGCTAATCTATGAGTTAAAGAGGTTATACACCCCCAAATTCTAAGTTTTACCCAAGGGGGGTAAATGGACTCCCACATAACAAGAGTTGTTTATCTTCACAACTTCTTTCTTTCTTCCTTTCATTTTTTCTTTTTTCTTTTTCTTTTATTTTATTTTATTTTTCTGTGAATGGAGCTTGAGATGTAGCACAGCTTAATATCAACTGCTAGCCAATGAAGCCCAAACTCAAATGAGTAGGAGACACCATTCCCCACTGAACCACCATTCTTCGGAATCAGGCCTTGCACTTGACTGTTTATCTTCACAATTAATGCAGGGCACAGAGAGATCACAAATGAAGGAGATCGACAGTTAAAAGATTACATGTTTAAAACATCAGAAATTACCCTAATCCATATTCATTGTTCTCTAACTTGTTTAATAATGCATAGGGTGGGGGGGTTGGCAAATGAAAAATGGAGTGTGAAGCACCCGTAATTCATTATTTGAAGTGAGCTTCAATCTGGAATTGATTGTCTAAAAATATAAAAATAAATGTTTCAATACGTAGGAATAAACTCCAAATCAGTCTATGTTGGCTTTTCTTTCCCACTGGTTGATGGAACAGAATTTTGCACAAATTCGGTAAGGCCAAGCTTGAAAGCATCGAGGTTAACCCCATTCTCCACAAGGATGCTTGTTACTCCCATACCCGATACCTGTGGAAAAGGCAACAAGGAATTTATTCTGTTCTTTTCATTTTCCTGATAATGATATTTTTATCATCATTGTCCAAGCCTTATCCCAACTATTTGGAATCGGCCGGTAATGATATTTTATAAACAAAAAAATTCGACAGTGCATTAGGAGTGATATAGGAGCATTTGAACTGACTACTCCAAAGGCAGATTATTTCAAGGAGAACAAAAGCAAAGGAGGTTAAGCTGTTCTAATTCAAGTCTTGAGCAGGAGCTGAACATAAAATATCTCATTTAAGGGGACTTTCCTTAAGAGAGCTATGGACCAAAGGGATATTCGTAGTTCTCCATTATCCATAGCACTACCAGAGTATTAAGTAAGGCACTTATGCTGCCCATCCACTATTCATACATATCAACAAATTATTGGACATGAGCCTCTGTCCCAGCTTTTACCTTTATTTGATACTTTGGATGAGTCCCGAGCCGAGTCGGCTCTAGTCAGAACCCTGGCGAGTCCAGAGGCAAAACCTCATGACTCGCCCTGAGTCACCCGCAAACCATATTTTCTAATGCTAAAATCACCAGTCCGAAGCCCAAACTAGGACTCACTCGAAACGGACCAGGTGACTCAATCTCGGGACCTGGAGAGTTCGAGCCCCAGCCATGGTTTTAAACAGAGGTTCTTACCATATCATTCCAAATAAGCGAATGTTAAGGAAAATGAGAATAAGAAAACATGGCTGCATACCGACTCAATGTTTCGGTCCTCATCATCAAAAAATAGCATTGAATTATAGGGGATCCCTGTCCTCTGTTTGATTCTCTGGAAATGCTCAGTTTTGTGAGTCCAACTTGAGAAGATCTCCTGTATCAACCAATATTGCATGATTATAAGTCCAAATTGTGCATAACTGTTTTTTGGTATATGTGGATGCAGTGCAAGGGCTTCCTTTTTGCACACCCCACAACTGTTTGGATAATTCAATCTTTTTTCTTGATTGGTTATTATGAAAAAAATAATGTTCAAGTGATAAGAAAAGACCAGGAAAAAGGAAGACTTTCATTACTGACATCACAAGAAAACTTAACATCAAATAATAACTGTAGCTGCAGGAATAATAATTGTAATTGCAGTAACATATATAGTGTCTTAGTCTAAAATCTCAGAAACGTTTTTTTTTAATACTCTTTTAAAAATGCTTTTTTTAAATATCATGAGTTTTCCTTTTCTTTTCTTTTATTTTCTTGTTTTTTCTTTTTTCTTTTTTCTTTTTTCTTTTTTCTTTTTTCTTTTTTGAAAAGGTGAAACATCATGAGTTATCTTCCCCTCACTTTTTGTGCAGCAAATATAAATTAACCTAAACATGTGGTTTTTAACAGGTAAAATACAGAATAGTCTAAAAACAAAACAAAATTTTGAAAGTCATCTAAGAAATTAGTTCCATTGCTGTGGATTTTCATTGATCAATGTTAGTCACTATGGTAGTAGAATGGCCTGAGTATTAGTATTAGTATTAGTAGTCGTAGACCAAAACAATTTGTCTGTTCTTAAAAAGAACAAAAAAAATTGTCTATTCTTCCAAAAAAAAAAAACATAAAACAAAATTGTGTAGCAATGGGGCCACAGTGTGTAGTTGTGGAATATAAAACATTGTTTTATTACATTTACCTTTGCCACGAACATTGATTCAATCTCCAATTTTTTGAAGAATGTTTTTGCAATATCCGATGTAGGGGAGCGAGAAGCAATTGCTACTTTGATGCCCTTATCTTTGAGTGCATAAAGTATGCCCTTGGCATGTGGATATAAAGATGGCATTTCTCTACGTGATCGGCATTCGCTGTTCAGAAAATTTCGAAAGCTTTTTAGAGAAACTAAGCTTTTTCAGACAACTGATGGAAGTAAATATGCAACAAAAAAATGGCCTTTCACTTTAAAAAAAAAAAAATTCTTTTTTAGTTAAATGATGCACTTCTAAACTCCTGAAAGACCAAGACAATCTACACACTTTCTAGAAGCCCATTTGCAGGTTATCAGATTATAGTACACACCAGAAAGCATATAATTTCTTTTGAAAGGTAAATATGAGGATAGTTTTAAGTAAAGAACACAAAAAATCTGGTTGCTGTTAAGGCCACTTAAATCAAATCCTTCACTTCCATCTGGAAGATTCCATGAAACCACAGATCATCTTTATCCCTAAGGCCATATCTGTTTCCCGAAATCTAATCCAATGGCTTTCCTCCTCTTGATCTCCAGTGCTTCTTCCTCACTAATGTCCTTGCAAGTTTGAGATCTCTGTCTAAACTCAGTTTGCATGCATCGTTAAATATCTCATCTCCACAACTCCAAAGAAACCCCTGTGACAGCATGTCTAGTTTATCTAGGTGCCCTTGGAATTTGAACAAGTGCCATATCGTACAAGCAATTCCCCAAAGGTAGCCTGAATGATACCACTGACATTTCCAAGGAGCCAGTCTTCAGGCTTTCAGTTAAGGACCTGTAATGGACTCCTGGGGTTCTAATGCAAAATGACCTCAAATGAAAGTTGGAATACGATTGAATATTCAACCCAATACATATCATAAATTTCAAGTGAGGATGTATCCCCCTAACCCTCATCAGAGAGAACTCCACTGGAATGTTTGAACTTTGAAACTTCTATGGAAGTTGACCTAAGCTTTTGAAGCATCAGGAAATACTGAGGTTCAACATCAAAAAAGTCAGAAACCAACTTAAAACTGTTGGACACAAGGCAAATCTCTTCATCAGCTTCAAAATCAACCCCCAGCTCATCATATGGCTAAAGAAATCTAACAAAGTTATAGCAGAAAAAGGGGGAAAGGCATTGGTTGTCTCAAATTCTCAATTGCTCAAAGCTACTGAAGAAACCTCTGAGGATGAATTAACCAAAACATCAAGGGGAGCCCTCGAAATCAATGCATCTGATTGTCGTCTCCATCTAATTCCACAACCCAACAGTCCACGCATGTTACTGTATAATCATACGCTTTTTATGATGACCACTTTGCACATAAGACCTGGACTACCTTGTTAGTGCAGTTGGCTCCAAACATTCATGAGGAATTAAGCCACTATATAGGTGCTCCCTACCTCACATAAAAGCAACTCGGCATAGGGAAATGATGACCAACACCTCTCTCATTCTCATAGAAAGAACCTTCACTAGAATTTTTAGAAGCATCTTAGTTGCTTTCATCCCTTTCAGCTTCGACTTTTATCTAGGCCCCCTAGAAAAACTGACATCTCATCCAACAAACAATCCATTTAAGTTAAGATTAGATGCATGAATTGTTATGGCAGCTCCCCAATTGGTAGAAGGCAATGATAAATCCCTTTTAGCTAGGACAGTACACTTGAAAACCAGTAATTGTCTTCTCCCTTTCTAGACCTACTAAATAAACTGATACAGGTCATTTTACAAGGACACATCAATTGTTTACTGTTCACACCATTGATTTTGAAATGTAGTGCTTGATTGCCGACATAAGAAACGAGGTTAACCATGAAAGTGGAAAGCATATACTTGTTTAGGTTTTTTATCGTGAAGCATATAACGATACTAGACCCAGTTTTATCAACTGAACTGCAGAAAAATATCTTCAACATCATCATCGTGATCCTCCGAGCCTTATCCCACTAAAACACATATTCTTCAGCATAAATACTATAATTGCAATACATAGCACATAGGCAGACGATCATGCAACCCCAACCACAGCACAACGGATATTAAGAATCGAACTGAAGATGCATAAAATCCTTCATTTAGTAGTGAACGAAGTCTCAAAAATTGGTAAGCCGACTAGGCATCGCCATGGTTTGTCCAGAACCAGAAAGTTCATTGAGTGATTCTCAAGTCCCAGGGCAATACTTTTTCCCTTTTTTCATTTTTTTTTTTTCTGGAAGATTCCCAAGGGCTGGAATTGGCAAACCAACTCCAGAATCACTGATCGAGCTCAAATGGCCAGGTGCCGGAGTTGGGACCGAATTCTTTTCCTTTAAAATATTGCTTGTGAGTATATGATATCATGCATACATAACAACATGAAAACATCCATAAGAACATGCATACACCGATACCTACATGCATTACTGTATAGATTCATACACCAAATCAATAAGATGATAAATTCAAGTTAAAAAGGAGGTTGATGCGCCGGAAAAAGGTCCTAACTTGCAGAAGAGAAAAACACAAGAAAATGAATAATCGATCAATCAGTATAATGAAAAGGTATGAACTTGATTACCAGATAAGAAGGGAATAGAAACCCCAATTTTGAGAATGGGGAGCAAGAAATTACCAGTAAAAAGGCCAGAGAGTGTAGTCTAGGTCAAATACAACAAGTCGAGGGAGAATCTGGAAAAGGCCGAGGATTTGCAGAGCCTCTGATTTCACCTGATCGTCTCCCATTTGCCTGGGCGCTTCTCTTTTTCCAACTGTTATGTTGCAAAAATCCTTCTCTCTCTCTCTAAATTCTTGTCTCTCTCTCTCTAAAATCCTGCATGTGGAGCTTCTCTGTTCCAAGGGGACGGGTTTATTCTCTCAAACAGTTGTCCGTGTGTGATTCGATCGCAGGATTCCTGGCTTATAGGCCGTGTTCTGGGGTTTAAGAAGAACGCATGGTACGCTCCCTAGGGATCATAGTATATATTTACTCCCGCGGCTAAAACAATTACGTGAGAGATTTTATTTTTGGACCCGGTTTCTATGCAGCCAGGCCCGTATATGTAGCAATGCGGGTCTATTAATAAATCTATTTTTGAGATGGAATTTTGGACTTAATTTTCAAAGACATTTAATCGAGATCATGATTATGAAAAAATAAGTAACTTTTAAAAACCAAAAATAATAATTTTAGTAAGAAAATATTTGGACAGTTAGTTTTTATTGTTTTTAGATGGAACACCTACTTGTATCTATCTTTAAGACGGATGCTTTACACTTTTTGGACTGCATGTGTAGAAATGCGTTCTAGCCCATATGAAACAATTTTCTAACAAGTATTTGTGATATTTTATTTTTATTTGAAAATTTGGAATCTATGTAATATAATTAGATAATTATTTTTTAAAAAGTAGATTTTGATTTTTTAAACTTCTAGATGATGGGAAAGGGTTTGAAGAAATGGTAGTAGAACATCTCATATGTCAGTTGCATATTGTGGCTTTCATTCTAACTAATAGCTTAGAAAAAAAACCATTAACAATTTAAAAAATTGGTAAAAGCTGTCATCCCCGCTAAATTTTAAAAAAAAAAAAAAAATCTAGACGATACACTCTAAAAATTGAATGGTACCGGTGCAAATATGGAATGTCCTATAAGAGTAGATGGATAATACACTCCTGTGGGGTTAGGAAGGTTATTGGCATAAAACTTATTAATGGAATTTTAGAATATTAAGCGCATATACTAAGCTAATGGGAAGCATGTACAATGCATCTCATCCCTCACTCAAAACACCTACTTAGAAGAAATTTATTTTTAAGTCTAAAATATTGAAAAATACATAATAATCACTAGATGTTTATTTAAAGAAAAAAAACATAAATTTTAAAATTTGTAATACTGAGATCTAGCTTCAAAACTTGGACCAGGCACTCTCAACGCATAGATAATTGAGTGCGTAAACCACGCTCTATTGGGAACATAGTTTACTTCCACTCCCTTGGTCATATGACCCACTTAGGAAGATTTGTTTCAATATGAAAATTTGATAACCATCTAAAAATTACTAGATGATTATCCTCAAAATAAATAATTTGAAAATTAAGTTTTCTAACATATAGATTCACCCTCTAAAAATTGGATGGTTTCTATTCAATCTTAGGACACTATTCTTTTCAAGTGCTTAGATGGTGCAATAAGAAATTTTTTTTATTGAGGTTAATCTATGTGTTTAAAGAGGTTATATCCTTAAATTTTAGGGTCCTAAAATTCATCCTAGGTGGGGTCTTCAGACCTGGATTCGAATAACCTTCGGGTCCAAGATTTGGACCTCGACCCGATCTACTGTGTCTAACTTTTGAACCCATATCCGGACCCGGATCGGGTCTACCCCCTCGGGTCTCAAGTCAAGTCCGGGTTCATGGCCACCTCTACCAAGTAATCATTAGGGCTGGTAATGAGCTTGGGCCTGGGCCGAGGCATAAAAGGATGAGACAAGAGGTGTAGAAAAGGGAGGAGAGGTTAAAGGGGTCTGATATATTTGCTAGGGATTTAGTGGTGCTTGAAATAAAAAAATAGAAATGGGTTATCATGAAGTTGGAACAAAATCAGGGGTCCGCATGAAATTTTGCAAAACAAAATAATCAAATTTTTTAAAAATGTCCCCTATCTCTCAATGGTTTGGAAGAATTTTGAGTGATTTTGTTAGTTTTTGTTTCCACTATTAGTTTTGCATAAGATATTTGAAAATGCTCCAAGTCAATGAAACAAAATGTTTGAACTTTGGGGTATTTCTTTTCACGCCCGATCTGTGATTTTTCTCATTTTACTCATGTTTTCTAATGATTTTTTAATTTTATACTATTTTATTTTTTGTTCAACCCTCGATCATATCCATATGAAGGATTTTTTGGATTTGGAATCCAACTCAAGGAAATTGAGGGCTCATATGGGTTTTTGCCCTTTTGAGCTTAGTGTTTAAACAAATTTAAATATATGTTTTTTTATTTTTTCTTTTCTAATTTGAAATGACTTAAATACTTGAACAAACATGTCAAAGATAGATCCTTCTTTTTTTATTTTGGATTGCCAAATCTCTAATGTGCCTAATTTGGATTGGATTTAGTAGGTTGGTGATCCGCTCCACCAATCCGTGTTGTTTACAATACAGGTTTAAACTAGAGAAAGATATGCAACATAATTTGCTATATAGTCCCTCTTTTATGAGGGACTTGCTATACATTATCATGAGGAATTAGATTTTTAAGTATTTTCCACTTAATTTTGGCTTAACAATATAAAAAATACATATTTTTATTCTAAAAAGCACTAGTTTTTTCAATCAATGGCTTGTTTAAATTTATATAGACACAAATTCCTGTACCAACAAACTCTCTTATTTTCCATGTCTAAGATTCTTCCTTTGTTTGTACTGGTAACATCAAAAACTAATAAAATTATGTCAGTAAGACTAAAGATAACAATACCATTTAAATTTTTTTTTGGACAAGGTACTAATACTATTTAAATTTGTCATAAGTAACATTACTCAAAGGAATTTTACTGATTATGGCTTCTCTCTCTCATTCTCTCTCTCCATCACCATCCACCTATTGATGTGGTTCTCCTTCTCTCCATCACCATCCCACCGATGGGATGGTGATGACTCCTATAATCATTCGGTTACCAAAGTTATAAGACCATATTATTCTTTCACCACACATTATGGGAATAGATTTGGGAGGTGTAGGGTCGAGCGAGGTTGATGAGAGAAATATTCCAGACCAGTCATAAAGGAAAAGTTTGTTGAATACGAAATCTATCTTTTTTTTTAATCGTGTTGCTTTCTCATGTTTGTTTCATGAGAAAGCATCATGTTTATTTTGTGAAAAATCAGTACATTGAAAAGAAAATTAACAATGGGGAAGCGGTATACCTTGCAAGATATGATGCTGATTGCTCCCCTCTAGAAAATCTCACCATTAAAGAGAGATTTTTAAAAGGAGATTTCTTATTTAACAAACACAAGCAAGAATGGAAAAGAGAGAAAGAAATAAAACATTGGGCCAAAAAACTAAATGAGAGAAAGGGCATGCAACTTAAGAGCAAAACACTTGGTAACAGAAAAAATTATTGTGCTAAAAATATCTTTCAAATGTTTTAAGGATGATAGATGAGATGGAGATCTAGGGAAACGCTTTGCATCGTTTGTAGAAAGAAATTTATGGGATTCGTCGGTAAAGAGACCATTTCCTTTTTCTATAAAAGGTGAGTTATTCTACTTAATACTTTTTTTTTTTTTTTGCCCTTTCGTGTAATAATAATATTCTTAAAAGCACCTTTTTATCTTGATAATAATATTGTTAAAGACACCCGTTTTGGAATCTAAAACGACAAGAATGACTGTAATCCCTTCAAAAATCCCGAGATTCAAAGGGCGGTGCAGTTTGTATGAAGCTTAGGCTCTAAACAATCAAATTGGAGCCTACGTTTAAATGGTACGGAGAAATATTGTTTCACATTTGAAATCTTTGTAATAATTTAAAAATATGTTTTTTAGTTTTATTTATAAAGTTTAAAGTTTAAAAAATAGTGTAGATTGATAGATCTATGAAAACTTGAAAATTGACAATAAAAAAATGTATTACAAAATATATAATTTCTAGAACTTAAAATTAAAATTTTTTTTTAATGTCCATGCATATTGCTGTCGAGATGATCAATTTGAAGACTTTTGAACATCAAAACAATCTCGTCTAACAAAAATTTTGAGATAGACTCAAATGAATCTCGTCTAACAAAAATTTTGAGATAGACTCAAATGTGATTGTTTAAAGCCTCGGCCCTATATAAACTTAGATTTTACGAAAAATAGGGCGGCTGTTGATAAAACAGAAGTCAATATCGAACGGTCCTAAAAGAAGGCCACGTGGAAAGTACATAAGAGTAGAAGAGTAGAGCGCGTGACTTGGAAATCCCTCCCACATAAGGTTGAGCTCCGAACAATCAAAATTTTGTAGAATCAAACATGGTAGTTTGAAATAAAATTAGGAAAATTGTTTCATGAGTTGGACCGCATCTTTACATGTGCGGTCATAAAGATGGATGCATCTTTACATGTGCGGTCTTAAAGGTGGATGCAAATAAATTGTTTCATGAGTTGGACTGCATCTTTACATGTACGGTCTTAAAGATGGATGCAAATAAATGGTCCATCTAAAAATAATTAAAACTAATTGTCCAAATCTTTTCTTTATAGAATTATTATTTATAATTTTAGTTTTAAAAATTTATTTATTTTCATATTCATGATCTCTATGTTAGAGATTACATATCTTTAAAAATTAAGTCAAAAAACCCATCTAAAACATATATTTATTAAAGGGCCTGCATTTCTACACGTGCATGCTTGCCCTGCACTACGTCCATAAAATTATGTAAGAACAACATCCAAAATCAAAAGGATGAAGTTTCTATAAAGAGCTTTACGAAAACAAAATAAAGTTTCACCTCAAATCTTCATTCAAAAAGCACTTTGAGCAACAAAAATCACCGTGATGTATCTAAATTCAATTTTTAACACCGAAAATAAATTTTAAAACTAAAAAACTAGTACATATTTGTAGATCTTTGAACACTTAGTTTTAGAGTGAAATGGACGGTCTAGAAAATTTGTTGTGATATACATTATTTATAGAGATTAATATCCTAATTATTTTCATAACCATAATTTTCGAACTGAAATAATCGTAAAGGTTTTTCAATACTTGAATTGTAAATTTTGATGAATATTGTGGTGAGGCTTTTCTTATTTTGAGCGGGATGTAAATCATTGTCCAAGTCAAAATTGTCAGAACTTGGATGGACCACTATGGAATTTTATTAAAACGTTGAACTTATTTTGGTCAACTTTTGAAGAAACAGGGAATAAACGTGCCGTAAGACAACCGAACTTATCGACGGCTGCATCTGCTGTTCCATTCGCCCCGTATTCGACCAAAAGACGGAAATACCCTCGAAACCAGATAATGACATTTTTACCCACATCTATTTCTAAAAGACTAAAAGCACCAGTACGTTCTTTTTCAGTTCCCCACTAGTTTTATTTTGGGAAGTTGGGCTTTTTCACCTTTTGAGAAAAGACGAGGACTGAAATTGTAATTCATCGAAATTGTACTGTTATTTTTCAGCCTTTTTCCATATTTTATTGTCTGTATTTTTTTCTCCATTCCTCTTCTGCAAAAGCTTTTTCATATTTTTCTTGTTCTTTTACACAATTTTCAGCATTTATTACAATTTTTGGCAAATCAGGGCTTCGCTGTGCTCCATTCTCACGGACATTTCTTCTTAGGGTTTCCATTTAAGGAAGATTTTGAGCTTTCGATTACCCTTTCTTTGGCCATTAGAGCTCCCTGATCGGTAAGCTTCTGGTAGGCTAGGGTTTTAGCTTGCAATTTGTTGTGAGAAAATATGTTTTCTGATTAATTGTTTTGTGTATGCGTCTTCCCCTGCTCATCGATGAAACTCTAGAGGGATGGTGTAAAATTAAGTAAAGTTAACGTAATGTCAATTTTTTGTCGAATTTTATGTGAGTAATTTAGCTGAATTATGTGATCCAAATGCATATCCTTTTCATGGAGTGACTAAGAATTTCTTATTTTCATGTTCAATTGATTTTTTAGGTTTTTATTTGTTGCTCTGTTAATTTATTTATTTTGAATGTTACTTGAAAATTTTACAATCGCCCAGGAACTGTAAAACTTTAGGGTTTTAGTCTGCTTATAGTTGTATCATGGAGAGAAATATTTTTTGGTTTATCTTTTTATTCGTAAATTCAGTGAGGTTCTTCTCCTCTAATTTCATTTGTATTCTTCCATTTTATGGCATTTTTGTGCCCAAACTACTTGGGATATTGTTACATTTGGTGATGTTCTAGGATAGAAACTCTAGGTGTTAAGTGTTTTATGTTGTTAGAATCTTTGCTTTTTTCCAGAGTGGCTCCCTTATTTTAGTCGTGATTTTGCCATGGGACTAACTTAAACTGAGAACTTACAATTCTGGCTGATTGTCTGATTATTCTTGAAGCAATTTTATCGAGTGAAGATCAGTTATCAAACATGGACCTGGCAATTTAAAAGAAAAAGAAATGTTAAATATTGTAAATAAAATTGAAAAAAGAATTCAGACCTCAGTAAGTGAGGGACTTTTTGCTTCTTGTTCTTGAATGGAAGTATGCCTACCATCATAACCCAAAATGACATTCGGTTACTGTCTATTATTCTTCTCAGTTGAGTTCCAAAAAACGCTAGCGCGTAGAACCTGGATGGCCTAGGTTCGAAAGGGGGTAAGGGTATCCAGTAATCTCGTTTAGGGTCCAAATTTTGGATAAAAAATGCATGGACATATCCATAGCGAATTTTTAATGTCATAAGATGGTGTACATGCTTACTTGCACCTGAAGGTGCAGCAAAGTAGAGATGCATGAATTATTTTCAGAAGAGAAAAAACATCCAGGTACAAAAAGCAGAAACAATAACAACAAAAGATAATTCAAAAAACCTCTGCAAGGCATCAAATATTCGTCAACTGTGAGGCGAGACCAGCATCATTAGCTTCTCTGATCGATTTTGTCTGAGAAAGATGAATGATTCCCTCCATGTTATGTGCCGGTTTTCATTGGAAACAGGGTCCCTGACTGGCCACTTACTGGCACCAAGTGATACCCCTTCTACTACTACAAAGCCCAATGCATAGCATTAAAATGCCAAATTCCAATCTCTTATCAGGTTAATAATCTTTACACACTAAATCTCCTCAGAGCTCTTGGTCCACTGATATTTTTTTCATAGAAAGAATTAATAATTTCTAGGCCTAGAGATATTATTGTGCTGTTCTCTGAAGTCACCTGGACACTCTCAAAAGGCTAGAATATCATCCTTGATGATTCTCTGACTCCTCTCCTTCCATACACCCCAGAAGTTGAAAAGTAATCTCCACCGGTGTACCCCTTCTGAGATGGAATCAGAGAGCTCCTTCACTAAGAACGATGAAGATGACCCATGGAAGGTCAAAAGTATCCAGGTAAAAAGTCACTGATATCTATTTATCATAAAACAAAGTCATTTATGTCCCTGGTATGTCAGTCATGATCGAAGATTTAGTTTCACCACATGCTAGGGACATGGATTCCTCGGTGTTGAAGATGGTTGCAAATAACATACTATTTCAATTGTCAGCCTTTATATCCATGTTTGTAAATAAAATTAAGGATGATGCTATTCCAACGTTTTAAAAAGCCGAGGCTAGGCCCTGATAGATTCCCATAAATTCCAGCTGAAAAGAAAAATAATCCTTCTGATGCATGCATGCTATGCGGGGCATTTCTTATGATAGCACTTTGAGCATTCTGATGTTTTGTTGCTTTTTCTTTGTTATGATGTACATTTTTTACGCTGAGAACATGCAACAGTTGGCATTTGATAACTTGCTTTTTGTTCGACATTCAAATGATATATTTTAATGACTTCCCATTTATGATTTACTTGTTTTAAGTTTATGCTTAGAGTGGCAGGTTTTAATTCTTCCTATGGTATCAGGCCTTGATTTTGTCCCAAAGTTGTTCTTGGTCCCCTCGTTGGTCCTAACAATGATGATAGAATCCACGATGTGCCTTATTCTTTAGGAGTATTATGATTTTGTTCAACGAGTTGTCATTTTCAAGTTTAAAGATGATGGCGGCTCCTAGTTCCTTGCAATTGTCCCATGATTTGTGCATTTGTAAGGGCCTTGTACATGTTAACCATATTAAGGTATGTGATTTCCAACTGTTTTAATTTTGTGCTGATTATGGGATATCTTCCTAATGAGCACGTTTTCTCTAATTCTGTCTGACTGCACTTTTTAACATTCCAGAAACATGCAGTGGGAAGATGCCGAGTTCATTTATTGAGTTCTTCTCCTTCATCACGTGCTTCGGTATTATGCCTGGCTTTTTTCTTGATGATGTGCTTTTATTGTTCTATGGAATCAAAATAAGTTACTCAGTTTCAAATCTCTTTTTGGCCAGTTGAGATATTTTATTCTAGAAGAGGGAACGAAGGATTAATAGCAAGGAACAAATACAATATCTCATCTCCATACCTCTCAAACTAAGCATGAAAATGAAATACTCATGTAGCCCCTGTTTTTGTATGCATGTAAAATTTATCGATACTTGTGTTAAGAGTGTATAAGGGAAAAAAAAAAAAGCATTAACCCAAATCGTCACTCTATCCCCTTAAGAAGCTTACTGATCATTGTCTCTTTAGGTCTAAAATTTGATGGTGCTGTGGAGTAACTTGGGGTTTGCCTTGGTTGTTTTTTATTCTTTTTTTTTTTTTTTTGGGGGTTGGGGGTATATCAAGGACATGTGCTATTCTTTATGAGCTTGTCTACTAGTAGTAACTGATTCCTTGGTACCAGAGGTGATAGCATTGTGATATTTAATTGTTGATTGATGGAGGGTGAATCTCAATCTCATTGGGTGGCTAAAGGATGGTGGACAGTTCATCTTTTTAGTAAGATTCCCTAGACGAGTCTGTGGTTCAAGAGAGTTCGTCACGGGGTCACAAACATGGGAAAATTGCCAGCTGGTTAGGAATCTGGAGAATATGAGTGGGCATAGGATGGTTTCGATATTTGCAAATGTGTTTATTATGCTTTGTAGAAATGAGACTTCCATCTACCACTTTGGTTTTCATACAACATACTCAATTGTCTTAACCAATAAAAAAAAGGAAAAAGTTTGCTAGTTCTGAGCGCTAAATAACTTCTTTTTGGATGAATAAGTGTAAGAGATGAGCTTTGAAGTGGTTTGCTGATTTTGTTGCAGAGACAAGATGCTTGGAGCCTCAAGATATCAGACCAAATACATAGGCCAGTACATGCATTTCGTTCAAGTTACAGGGTGGTCATGTGCCGATCGTTGTCAATACCGAGTCTAGCATTGGAGTTGCCTATCCAGGTGATAAAGACTACTAGCTCAACGTTGGCCAGGTTTTGCTCTCTCTTCATGGTTTTCGCCACAAACAAACACACACACACATAACTAGTATTCTTATTTCAATTTCTTGTGATCCTTATGCTCGAGCTTTTGTGCACAGCTATTTGATCCATTTGTCATGAGAAATATTGTGTGATATTACTAAATCTCTTCTTTTGTTAATTTGACTTGATAAAGTGCTGCAAAATGATACTTTTATTGTGTTCCTGGACAAATTTGATTCTTTAGGTATTTGTTGTCCATCTCTTCATGAGGATCCTAGCTAACATACCTACCCACTTCCAGCATCATCCCCAAGAAAAAGATCAACACCTAGGATATGTTGTTCATCTAAACCATCAGAATGCTTTGTCAATGGTCGTGTGCTTGCTTACGGTTGTCCACACTCTGGATAGGATTTTTTGACAAAATTACTGGCTGTTGCTCTTTCTGGATCTTTTCAGCATCCTTAACTATGTGTCCATTCATCAAACTGCCAGTTGTCCTGTTTTTTAAGCATCCTATCTAGGCTTGTGGTGGTTAGATCTTCTGATGGCTACCATCCTATCCCCCCATTAAGGCTACCACTCACAGGTTTTAGAAATACTTGCACCAATCCTGTAATGTGCCATGTGATCATGAAGAATTGGCAGACATTTAGTGACCTTGGTTTGTGACCATGGTGTCGGAAGTTTTGAGTGTGAATCAACTATTGTCTATAAATGGTGATGTTGGTGATGTATTTGTGCTTTTATTTATTGCATAGTTTAGTCATATTTATTATTATTTATTACCAGTTATAATTGTGTAAAAAGTTTCTCGAACAGCATGGTTCTTCCTAAGGAATCCTTCTTTTCCGCAATTATCGCTGTTGATGATGAATTGCTGCCTTTATATATTGCCCACTTTTTATAATATCGCCATTTAGTATTCTCCGATGTCTTCTATTGTGCTTAAAATCTGGCAAATGTCTCAACTAGCAGGTCATATAATGCTTTGCAAGGAAGCCCACTTGTTTTCCAATTTGCCCCGGCAGTTGGGATTATGGCGTTTGCTTTATGGGGTCTCGGCCCACTTATGCGTTACATCCGGTACCTTATTAAAAATGTATGGAGTTATCCGCACATTCTGTTTGTATTCTTTTTTTTCCTCTTCATATTTTGCAATAGGACCTGCACGCATGAGAAGACTGACCTGCTATTTCTACAACTGTGTAGCATAACGACAGTAATTGGAAAAAAAGCAGCACCCATTATGTTCTGACTTCATATTTACAACCTTTGCTGTTATGGACAGGAGCAACGCTTATCTGCAGGTAAGAGACTGATAATATTAGTGCATTAGTATGAAAGCACTTGCAGAACAATTCTGTATTGATTTTACTAGTTGAGTGGGGTTTCTTGCAGGGTGCTTGATCCGGTAATGTTGCCCACAGAAGCAAGCCAAGCTGTGAAGCAACGTCTTGTGAATTTTGTACGGTCATTATCAACTGTGCTAGCATTTGCCTATTGTGTATCAAGGTGAGCTATCATCAAGTGTTTTTCTTCTCTCTTCCCCCCCTCCTCCCCCACCCCCGCTGCTATCCATCCATCTGTCCATCCATCCATCTATCTATTTATCTATGTCTACAGTGATGGTCGTTCAGTAATTTGCCACTGGACTAGCTGATTGCTTTATGGCTTTATTTGAGATTAATGATTATAGATGCATATTTTGTGTGCGAAAAAAAACACGACTGTGCATGTTGTTGATTGCTTTAAGTTGCTTTTGAGAAGTGATATTATACAGAGGAAAGAAAAAAGAACAGAAAAATATTTGTAGCTTGAGGCATATATAAGATTGGAGAATATGAATATGACTTTCCTTTAGAATCACATTACATGTCCGATCATTTAAAATGAGTGATTTTGTGGCTTGCACGGTGTTTTGCCCATATAGATGCTGGAAGAATGTCTTATGGGTAGTGACTGAATGACTTTTACCATGCAGCCTAATCCAACAAGCACAAAATTTCTTCATGGATCACAGCGACTCCAAGGATGCAAGAAATGTATGTCTGTGGTTGTTTCACTACTATTTTCAATGTACCCATCAATCGAAAGTAAAATGCCCCATTTTTTGTTGCTTGTATATTAGTCAACTTGTTTATTACTCTCAAGTATATGCAGTTTCACATCACGAATATGCTAATATCTGGTTTGGAATCACATAAGTCATTCCACTGTGTTTGAAAGATATATTGTCTTCGAGTACTGAAACTTGGAAGCATTTACTGTTATCAAAACCTGCTTATACTGATTGCTTTTTCCTTGATTTTGGATTGCAGATGGGGTTTCAATTTGCCGGAAGAGCAATGTACACAGCTGTATGGGTTGCAGCAGTTTCCTTATTCATGGAATTATTAGGTTTCTCGACGCAGAAATGGATAACTGCTGGGGGTCTTGGAACAGTGTTGCTGACTCTTGCTGGTCGTGAGGTGACATTTTTTTTATAGCTGGAAAACGTTACGTGCTTCATATAATTGAAGCAATTTTGAGTTTGCTAATTTTCTGCTATATGCTCTATCTTTAGTGATATGGGTTGCAGCTATTTTGGTTGAGAGGGGGAACCAAACTAGGTGTTATAGCATACATTGAAAATAAGTGTCTAGTTTCTATTTTTTCAAAACTACTTTTTTTTTGTGTTCCAGTGAAATTTAAACCTGGAATTCTGAATTTTTGCAGTTTAAATGACCAATTATATCTTCGCCACAAATTTATGCTGATATCTGGTCCAAACTCCTGATATCTGGTCCAAACTCCTAATTTTTCTGGAAGTCCTTTGCCGAAAGTTTTCCTGTGATTTTAGCAATGTTATGCTTTTCTTTTTGTGAACCTTTTTAGTGAAATCAAAGAAAGGTATATTTATGAAGTACAAAATTTTAAATTTTCTCTTGGTGTATGATCTGTGTTACCTGGTCATTTATTGTCAATGAGTGGATTAATGATAGTTATTGTTCTTGTACAGATATTCACAAATTTTCTTTCGAGCATCATGATTCATGCAACCCGGCCATTTGTTGTTAATGAATGGATTCAAACAAAGATTGAAGGCTATGAAGTTTCTGGTACTGTTGAGGTTGGTAGCTCTTAGTATATAGTGATTATTTTCCTGTGTGTTTATTAGTGCTTTTTCAACTAATCCCCCATGATGCACAGATAATTGAAAGGGGAAGTATACTATAATCGAATTGACTATGAAGTACCATATACTGTTGTTGGTATCCAATGCCCAATGAAATTATGGATGCTGATAGTGAAAGTGGATCCACCAGAGTGGGACATGGTTTGGGTTGCGCTCGCTTTTCCATCACCATCCATCATTGCATCAGATTGCTATAACCCCAATGCATTATGGTTTTTTATAGCCCGTTGGTCTATAATCCTTTGGATTGTAGTTAATACTCTCTCAATTAAAAATGGGTGCTGTATTACTACATGATACTTGAAAGAGCACTGATGGCTAGCCATGTCCAAAGCTGTATCAGGCATCATTGGCATTCTGTTGCTCTCTTTCCCACAGTTCGACAGTTTTGATCCTGGTTGTTTTTGTGTTATTCAGCACGTTGGTTGGTGGTCACCAACTATTATAAGAGGCGATGACCGTGAGGCACTTCACATCCCAAATCACAAGTTTACTGTTAATGTTGTTCGGAATCTAAGTCAGAAGACGCACTGGCGTATCAAGACCCACCTTGCCATTAGTCACTTGGATGTTAATAAAATCAGTGTGAGCAAGAACTTGGGTCCATTTCGTATTTAAGATAATATGCTACAGTCTGGTAGACTATAGAAACCTGAAATCCATAGTCCATTGGGGTCATCATGTCCATCACTTTGTCGGATGGCGAAACCCTAATCTACTGTGGTTTTCCATTATCCTTTGGGTTATATTAGCCTCTCTTATTTTGTTTTCTGGATGGGAATTGGTTCATCAAGTCACTCTATTCCAAATACAGAAACCTTTCTTAATCCTTTTTTTTTGTACAGAACATAGTGGCTGATATGCGCAAAGTCTTGGCAAAAAGTCCACAGGTGGAACAACAAAGGTTGCATAGAAGAATATTTCTTGACAACATCGATCCAGAAAATCAAGCTCTCTTGGTATGCCTTTCTTTATAGCTTCTACATTATTCTTTTGTCAGTGAGTACTAAATCAATGTGATAACATTCTTGTTTTCCGATAATGAATGTGACAACATTCTTGTTCATGCATAGGTTGTTTTGACTAGGACTAACTCGTCTTCCTTTTAAATGTGATAACAGTCTGGTTTTTTTTGGCAAATCAGTGGTTGTAGAATGAGTTGCCACATGCTTGATTTTAAAAGCATTCTATTTCTGACCCGTTTGGCGAGCGCCCAATATATCCATGTAAACATGTTTTTCATGATCAGCAATAAAATCTTGTTTTGATAGAAATACCAGGGAAAAGTGCCCCTTCTTACCACTTAAAAATTCATATGATCTTGTGGTCTTAAAAATCCATATGATCTTGTGGTCTCCAGAATCCATTAGCTCTACCTGACCCCTCAGTGGCTCCTTGAAGGGATCTTGTGTGTACCATAGAATTGGAAGCCTCATGATCCATATTTTGAGAATGTGCTTAAACCTCACCTTAAAACCCTCCCCTTGTTCTTTAATAATGACGATGCTTCTTTTTTTCCTGTTTCACTTTTGTTGGTTTCTTTTCTTTCCGTGTTTTGTCCGCATCCTATTCCTGCTCTTTGTTGCGGTTCTCTCTTTTTTGTTTTATTATTTGTTTTTATCTATTCACCATTCTAATCAAAGATTATTTTTTTTCTTTTCTTGGTTTACCTTGTTTCTTTCTGGTTTTTTAATTTAATTCATTGGTCTGCAGATCATGGTGTCTTGCTTTGTGAAGACCTCCCATTTTGAGGAGTACCTGTGCGTCAAGGTAGGGTTCCATTCACTCTATAAACTGTATGCGTACATCCATATATGTTTTTGTTCTTTATATATGGGTGCGGTTTGTATAGAGCCTAGGCGCTAAACAATCAAATTAGAGCCTACCTTCAAATAGTGTCGAGAAATGTGGCTTCGATCCTCGAAATCTTTGTGATAGCCTTAAAATATATTTTCATATTTATTTATAAAGTTTAAAGCTTCAAAAATAGTGTAGATCGATAGATCTATAAAAACTTGAAAATCTTGATTCTCAAGCCATCCTAAGACTTTTTGACACCTTAATTACATCTTATGATAAAATTTGGAGGTGCACCTTATTGTTTAAGGTTGCGACCTTATGCAAACCACACACTATATATATACATATATATCAGAATATCATACTTGGAAACGTTTACAGTACTGTATAGTGGACCGATGGAAATGGTAGGCATTGGGGTCATAACCATCTCTGGTTTCAGTAGTCCAAGTTCAAAACAACGAGGAGTCGTCCAAATCCCCGTCTTTTTAACTCACCTTGGGCCTCAGACTTTGTCCTGGCCTTAGGTGAGTAGCCCAGCCGATTCGGTGGAGTAGAGTAGAGGGGGCCCAAAAGTCCCTTAAAAGAAAAAAAAAAAGAAGTTTAAAAATAAAAACTTCAACAAAAAAAAAAAACGGAAGTTCAAAAGTAAAATAAAATTGCAATACAACAGTTAACATTCTCCCAAAAAAAAAAAAGTAATAGTGAAACACAACTACAGGCAACATAAAAAGTCCAAAGAAGCTAAAAAAATATATAAAACATGGATTTAGAAAAAAATTATTTATGGTTGGAGACATTTTAGAAAAATCCAAATAAAGGGGAAATATAAAAATAGGGCATATGACAAGAAAAAGTCACAAATAATTGTAAAAAAATTGAAATTACATACAGAAATTTTTTATACATTGATTCCACATTTTTATATATTTTTTTACAATTTGTTTGAAATGGTCCATGTTGCACCTGAGTACTTGGTTTGGCAAGGAGTCAAGTCCACCCTAAACCCAAATCATATAAACAAGAAAAAGATTAAATGAGATGATGGAAGTGTTGTGATTACAGGAAGCCATCCTCTTGGACCTGCTAAGGGTAATCAGCCACCACCGGGCACGCCTTGCAACCCCCATCCGCACCGTCCAGAAGTACTATGGAGATGCTGATCTCGAAAATGTCCCCTTCTCCGAGTCTGTGTTCAACCGAGGTGGGGTGCATAGCCGACCTTTCCTACTCCTCGAGCCCTCCAAACCCAAGTCATCATCATCAGCAGGCTCCACTGATCCCAACAAAGTGTCATCATCAGCTGCCCCTATTGATGCCAGCAAGGCATCGTCAGCTGGGCCCATTGATGCCAGCAAGGCATCACCATCAGTGGTACCCATGGATGCCAGCAAGGCATCATCAGTGAGTCCTACCGACTCGACCAAGACATCATCTGTGGGCCGAACTGATGCCAACAAGGCCTCAACGGCAGCACCCCCTGATACAAACAAGGCATCCACGGTGAAATCTGATGCCATCAAGGCATCATCTGTGAGCTCAAGTGATGCCAACAAGGCATCAATAGTGGGGCCACCTGACACTAACAAGGCATCATCTAACAAGGCTGCAGGGGCAACAGTGGGCCCCTTGAGGCCCAAGCCCACAAAGCCTGATGGGCTTGTATCAAATTCTAAAGAGATTCCAATGGGCGCTGACACAAAGGATCAAAATTCTAAGGATACCACGATGGGCCTTGAGTTGAAGGGGTTGAAATCTAAGGAGATCACAAAGAGGTTGAACTCCAAGGAGATTATGATTGGCATTGATTTGAAGGGGTCGAATTCTAAGGAGATCCCAATTGGTGCGGATTCGAAGGGGTTGAATTCCAAGGAGACTGCTGTTGAGAAGCAAGGGGATGAGATGGGTGATGGCTCCACACCCTCAAAGCTAGAGGATGAGCGAGCTTCATCCCAAGCTCCAAGGCCCACTTTGGAGGAGAATATTGTGTTGGGCGTTGCCATTGATGGACCGAAACGAACACTACCTATTGAAGAGGAGATGGTGGCAGGCTTGGGCCTTGGTGAAGGGAAGGAGCTGGCCACTTGTCGGAATGGTCTTGGAAAAGATAAGGATGTACAGATTCCTGCAACTCGAGGGGAGGTATCCAGTGATCAGAGAGAGCAAGGGAGGTGACCTTGGGCTGGGGTTTGTGAGTTGAAGGGAAAGGGGTTGGTTGTATACTTCTTTTGCTAGTCGGAATCTGGATAGATGTATAATTGGTGTTAGTGAACATTTGGTTCTTTTGTGCAGGCATCTCCACCAATTTATCACGATTGTTGAAATTCATCGGAAATGTTGATTATATTCAGGATTATAATTAATGGATGGAATGTTTGCCAAATTAGTTGTTGAGGGAATCTTGGTTGATCTCAGGTTTTATTTTTTGAATTTCCTGTTTGTTGATGTTATCCTTTTTTTTTTTGAATCTGTTAAAACATGTATCAAGTAGAAGAGCTGTGCAACCAACAAAAAATACTGTCTTCGAGGGACAGAAAGGGCCTTAGTCCCAAGTCCAGAAAATGCTATACTGTCCAAAAGAACATCAGAACAGGAACCGAAACAACGTCTTCTATGGTAAACAAAGTGGTATGGCTTGGGAATTGCCCCTCCTTAGCCTGTACGTCCGCCATCTGATTGGCCTCCCACCACGTATGAGTCCACAAGACTGAATGCGCCTGCACGCACATGTCAAAGATCTCGTGTATAAGCCTCTAGGGGGGGCCTTGCCCTCGCCCTCGCCCTCGCCCTCGCCCTCGCCCCTGGAGATGCCGTCACCAACCAAGACTGGTATTGTTATTTTTGGGTCAGAAGAAATAATTAATGCCTCTCAGGAGCCACTTCAAAAAGCAACCGAAACTGAGAAAGAAACCACTCCAAAAAATAAAATAAACAAACATACACCCTAAAACCCATACAAATCAAGAACCTATTCCCCTTCTCAATCAAAAGACATACCCATGACAGTAAAGAGAGAACTTTAAACTAACTCTGGAGTGTTGCTAGAGAGAGAAACTCTGCAGTGGAGGATCAGCATGCAGGTCAAGAAGAGGATGCAGTCTCAGGCATAAAGAATGTGGAGGAGGAGACGATGATGGACCTCATCCTCAATGGTTCCAGCCTTAAAACCTTGGGTCCAAGAATTCAGAGACTTTGGTCCTCAAATTCAACAATAAGATCGAGACGAAGTTCAATAAAATCAAGGACCAATTCCACCCACCCCTCATCCGCCTCTTAGTTTTCAATAACTTGTAGCTCGATCTCCTCTTCATAGTGTTCATCGTGTTGATTCCCTCCCTACCCTCATCGTCTTCTCCAGTGCTTAGCGCGCCATCTCCTCTTCATAGTGTTCATCGTGTTGATTCCCCTCCCTACCCTCATCATCTTCTCCGGTGCTTCGTTGTGAGCATCCCACCACCACCTCCTCCTCCTCCTCCCCAATCATGAGAATGTCTGGCGCTTGTGCGGGTTGCGCTCGTAGCCCCTGTGAGAGTCCCGCCACCATCTGCCATGGCACAGGCGCGGGCCCCTCGAAATGGGCATAATGCCCTACCTCCTTTCATGCATGGTTGAGGCCACATCGTCTAAATTAGCAGATTGCCGGTGCTCTCTCTCTCTCTCTCTCTTTTCATTTTTCGCCCACCATAAAGAGTTACTTGTTTTAAACTTCACTACTGATGCAGATGGTGAATTTTACTGCTGACTCATAGAGAATCAATTTTCTTTTGTTGTTTTAATCTCTTTATTAAGGTTGTCTATTAGGCAAAAGTTTATATAAGGATGTTACCTTATAATATAGAGCTACAGATGCCCCTCAAAAATCCATCGAAAAAAGGTGGTTTTAATGTTGAAAAACCCTTTTATTGATCATCTCGACATCGAGATGTATGACTACGAAAAATAAAAATATTTTAAGTCTAAAAAATAGTGCATTTTACTACATATTATCTACACGGTCTATTTTCAAGATTTTCATATGTTTATAGATCTACTTGATTATAACCATTTTAAAATTTTAAATTTTATAATTAGATATAAAAATAGATTTTGAGATAATCCTAATAACATTTTACATAAATATTATATACCATGATAAAATTTGAAGGTGCACCTTAGCTCTATACCGACGGATGCGTATGTATGCAAACTGTACCCTTTCTTTTATGTTTTGATGTACACGAATACTAGGGGATAAAAAAAGGAAGGAAAAAGTAGATTGTATAGTATGAGACATTTATTTTTAATACAAAGAGGTCACAATCACTTTTAGCTAGCATTGGATGTGAAATTCAATAGTGTAAGTGTGTGACAAAATTTGAGAAATTATTTTTGGACTTTTTGCCCTCACACGATGGTACATCTTCAAACACCCAATTTTAAATCTAACCGTTAGTAATTATTGTGCGGCAAGCTTTCTATGCTTCTCCTACATCATAGAAGTTCTATCTTCCCCCTTATCCAACCGTCCATTCTGAATGGAAGGCTAAGATTGTCACAATCACAATATCACGTCTCTACACTATTTTATTTTTTATTTTTTTTGTAAACTATTTTGATACCAAATTTTAGACGTCCATTCTTCTATTAAACTCGCACTAGCGAAAAATATAAAAAAATATTTTCAATAAAATAAAATGACCAAAATACCCCTAAAAGTTTCAAGGGGTATTTTGGTCATTATATTTTATCAAAAAATTATTTTTAATATTTTTATAGGTGCGCCCTAATGAGAAGATGTCACGTACCAAATTTCATATTCATGTAATTTGTATTAAAAAAAAAAACTAAAAATAAAATACTTTGAGACGTCGGATCTAAGATCAAACGATGAGTGGTTCTCTTTATCAAAATTAGACGGCTGGATGGTAGGGGGAGAATAGAACTTTTATGCTGTAGGGGAAGTATAAAAACCTTTCCTATTATTGTGACTGCCTTATATAAAAATTAAAAGGTGCAGTTTGTATAATGCTGAGGCTCTAAACAATCAATATAAAACACATCTTCAAATAGTGTCGAAAAATGGGGTTTAAATATTGGAAATTTTGTGATTGCCTTAAAATATATTTTCATGACCAAAGATAAATAAAAGTTTAAAGCCTTTTGTATACATTGACGTTACAATGACATTACTTAAAGGAAAAAGTTTACATAAGGTTGCAACCTTAAAATGTAGAATTAAAAATGTACCTCAAAAATCTATTGAAAAATGTTGTTTTAATGTTGAAAAACCCTCTAATTGATCATCTCAACATCGAGATGTATAAAAAAAAAAAAAGATTTTGAGTCCCAAAAATAATGCATCTTGCAACACATTACCTAGACCGTCCATTTTCAAAATTTTCATATGTTTATAGATCTACTTGATTTTAACCATTTTTGGAGTTTAAAATTTTATAATTAGATGTGAAAATAGATTTTTAAATAATCTTAAGAATTTTTACATCAAAATAACTTGTTATGATAAAATTTGGAGGTGCGCCATAATTGGATTGTTTAAGGTTGGAACTTTATAGAAACCAAACCCTTACTTAAATCAACTAGTTCCAATTTGATTGTTAAGAAATCTTTGGGTAAAAAAATCCTAGACTTCGTAACTCACTCCAAACCATCCAATTTGACATCTAATGAGTGAAAACTCCAAACCATCCAATTTGACATCTAATGAGTGGAAATGATTGTGACATCTATATACAAAAGATAAATACGTAGATAATCCCATAAAAAAATGACAATAATGTTGCAACTAGAAAATGCGAATGTCCAAACCAGCCCAAATGCTCTTTATCAAATAAAGTGAGAGAATAAAATGTTAAAAGAATCTGCTCTTAAATAGGGTCGACAATGGGCTGAGCGCCCTGGCTATGAAAAACTATGGCTTGGGCCCCAAAAGATTTTTTTATTTTTATTTTCTTTGGGTATATTAGCCTCAGCCAAGCTAGACTAGGGCTCCTTCAGCCTGGGTAGTATGGCGGTAGAATTTCTACAAGGCATAGGCCCTATCGAGAAAAAGCAAAGCCTCACCTAAAATCCTTGTCTGAAGAATATTGTGAGCAAGGGAAATCTCTAAAATTAATTTTACTACCAATTATGAGCTTTGTTGTTCAAAAAATTGTATTGAACACTTAAAAATGGGCAGTGTAGATAATGTGTTTTAATCTACCTTATTTGTAGAGCTTGAAATCCTAAATTTATTTCACAACCATAATGGCCGAGGTGGAGATGATCAATTTGAAGTTTTTCCGACGTCAAAACTGCAGTTTTTTATGAGGTTTGGGGTGAGGCTTTATTTATTTGGACAGGGGTACGTGCTCCACCCACTGCAAAATCAATTATAAGTGGTTTGTTGGATCGATTTCCTTCAAGATTTGACCTAATTGCCTTGCCTCCCTATGATTTGGAGCGCCAAAGTATGATAGTCTACATTTGAATCTTTTGAGACTCTATTTTTTTTATTTTTATGGAAACCATTTTCATCGCGTTGTACGAACGATTTGAAACTTTTTAAACCTTCCCTTCACCATCTACTCTTTCAAAAATAGCTTTTCTTTTGAGATAAGTGAAGCACAAAGTGTTCTCCAAACTTTGCTAGCATTTCCGGTAATCTGTCATCTTTTGCAATATATATATATATATATACCGGAACTAGTGTATTAAACCGGGTGATCTGGATAGGGAATTGTTGATATGAATCGAGTTTGTTGTGTGGGCGATCCTTACCTAACACCCTCGAATCTCCCTCACTTATTTTTCATTGTTTTTAACTAATTTTTTACCACTTTGGCTGATCGGTACAGTGAGTGGGCAATCGAAAAACCTGATTTTGGATTTTAAAAAGCTGGTCATATGTTGAAAATGTGTGCATACACATTCAAAATTAACGTTTACTTAAAAGGTGTGCTTTGTATAAGGTTGTAACTCTAAATAATCAAATTACGGTGCACCCCCAAACTTTGCTATGAGATGCAATTTTGCTGTTGAAAATTCTTAGAGTGGTTTAAGAATCTCTTTTGATCTCTGATCATAAAATTTTGAACTTCAAAAATAGTTCATTTATCTCGAATCATAAAATTTTGAACTTTAAAAATAGTTTAAATCAAGCAGATCTATGAATGCATATAAATCTTGAAAATGGATGGTCTTCTACCTAGATGTACTATTTTTAAGATTCGAAAACTTGTCATTTCTCTATATCTATACATCTCGAAATCAAGATGATCAATTAGATACGTTGAGGATATACGTGTACATGTATATACAAAATTGGGAGTGCACAGTATTAGAAAAAAGGGCGATCTAACCTGCTATTTTGAATAAAAAATTGAAAAAAATGTGTATAAAATCCCAAATATAAGGAATTTGATGTGTAATGTATTTTTTATGGTAAAAATTAAAAATTGTTTTGATCATTAATACTCACTTTTATATTTTTCTCATCTTTTTCGAAAAAATTTAAAAATATCCGTACGCACAAATTGATTCTTTAAAATCCATTTTTTTCATTAACTTTCAACTTCATTTGAATGTGTTTTATTTTAATCTATTTTTACATGCTTTTCATATTTTTTTTGTATGTTTTTTATTTTTTTCAACAATTTTTTGACCACCTAAGGCTTGCCCAATTAGAACGGTTGAATCGGCCAGTTGACCGGTTAGGCAGGTTAAACTGCTTCCAGCTCTTGGTTAACCGTTTCGATTCGATTTTATGAACACGGATATTATCTCAGTGCAAATTTGTGTATGCACTTGTGTATTCTTGTCCCGTGAGCTGGTCAGAAACCTATGGCTTCGACAGTTGAACACATCGTAGGTTCAAACTCGACAGTAGTTAACAATTGACATTAGGAATGCCAAATCTCAAGTTCGATTTCTATCCAACTGCTCAAAAAACGAAAAAACAAAAATGTGAAGTGATTTGTCAACCGAACTCCAAGTATACGTTTGGGACAGGTCACTAATCATCAGCACCAGTAGAACATTCATAAGAGATTTTGGTCTGCTCCTACCTACTCATGAGTAAGCCTCATTTGTGATTAGCTCTGAACTGGCTTTGGCTTAGTTCTTGATTGAATAATAAAGAAGACCACTTGGTCCGTTCAAACTTGACTCAAATGTATGTGTGTATGTGTGTAAGAGAGAGAGAGGTTGTTTCAAATACTGCCAATGACTTATTGAATTTATGGCATAAAAGGCCACAGTAGAAATATCTCAGCATAAGACAACCACCCAATGATGCTAGGATTGAGCATTATAACTCACAACTTTATCATATTTTACAACAACAATACAACTCAAGGCATCTCAAACCAAGCCTTCAAAGCTCCACAGCACACCTTCATTTAAACACTACCACACATGCAATCAGGGGCAGGATATGTATATATCGACTGCTTTGCTTTGCGTAATCTCATCTTCCCTTGCCTCTGTTCATGGCCCTTGCGCACTGCCGCTTGAAAATCTGACCAACCCATGCTCTTGTTCAGATACAACTGGCCCAACAAACCCATGTTTGGCCTTATTGTTTTCAAATTCAAGTAAGTTCGATGCCCCACCTGAGAGAGAGAGAGAGATTAACTTTGGAAACCAATCACAGTTCATTTTGAAAAGAGATTAACAATCACTGTCAACTTAAGACCCAAATGACCAGAAAGACCGAGAGTGTGTTTACCATTGCATTATGCATGTTGCCAGGAGATGCAGAAATGAACACATCACTGTGAAGGCTCACATAATAGTCAAGGGCGGCCAACATTGACGCTTTCCCTTCTACCATTGCTAGTTCCTCTTTGGATGCCAGGCTTTTCTTGTCCTCCATCAGTGGGAACAGTTCGCGTAGGGTTGAGATCCTTGCTTCACCACCATACACCTATATGCGTTCAGACCAAAGATCAGCACATCCGGTTCCCAGAGAGAGAGAGAGAGAGAGAGAGAGAGAGAGAGAGCTACTAAACTTAATTAAACTAATT